GAGCCGGCTAAATCCCATAACGTGATTACTTAAAAGAAAATAAAACCCTATACTTATAACTATACGTATAAAAACTAATGACACGAATTTAAAACATTTAATCAAAACAAACAATTATTTAAATTGCCACATAAGCATATAATAATGAAATTAAATAATTCAATTAAATAATTAAACAATTAACAAATAAGCAAATAATCAATTAATCAAATAAAAATGCAATAAAATAATTAATTAAAATACCAAGACTATCCTTTTAAAATTAGGGGTATTACAAATAGATACACGAGTTCTTACCAACAAGCTTTTGGCAGTCAACCAAATGATCACTCACTTAAAGGCCAGGAACAACAGCTTCTTGCAATCTATACCAGTCTAAGGAATGCTGAGGAATCCACCTACAAACAGAATTCCAGAGTGTTGTGGCTTAAGGAGAGGATGCTAACACTTCTTTCTTCTTCAAATCCTTGTCCTCAAGATACAACAGGAATAAGATCACTTCCACTGGGACCTTGTTTGACACTGAGAAAGACATCTAGCTTGAGGTTGTATCTCACTTCTAGAGGGCACTTGGTATGAATCCTCATTCATACCCATGTATGGATTCTCTCCTTCCCTTCATCTAACCCACTCTTCCCCACCACTTCCTATCCTCACTTTTCTCTATTCCATCTGATGAAGAGATACACCAATGCATGTTCTCCCTTAGCAGTGATAAGGTCCCGGGGCCTGATGGCTTCAATGCCCAATTTTTAAAGTCAGCATAGCCTGTGGTTGGACCTGAGGTTACTTTAGTAATTAGGAAGTTTTTTTCTCAATGGGAAACTTCTTGGAGAAATTAACTCCACATATATCTCCTTGGTCCCTAAAAAATCCAACCCTACAACCTTGAATGATTTTAGACCAATCTTTTGCTGCTCCACCATTTACAAGTGTACTTCTAAACTTCTAGCTAACAAAATCAAGCCCACACTCCATCATATAATTGGTCATTCCCAATCTGCCGTCATCCAAGGAAGAACAATTGATGGCAACGTCTTGCTTGCCCAAGAGCTCCTCACTGGTTATCATAAATAAAGAAATTCCCCTAGGTATGCTCTTAAAATTGATCTCCAAAAAGCTTTTGACTCTGTGTCCTGGGGCTTTCTTTTTGACACCCTCCACTTAATAGGATTTCCACATACATTTGTTTACTGGATTCATACCTGTGTAACCACACCCTCATTCACCATATCACTTGGTGGGGAATTTAATGGCTACTTTAAGTGTATTAAAGGGCTCAGGTAAGGAGACCCTCTCTCACAATTCCTCTTTGTTATTGTGATGCAAGTTTTCTCAGCCATCATTAAGAAGCTCATAGCAGAGGGACCCTCCAAGCACTATTGGAGGTGTAAAGCCTTATCACTCACTCACCTCATTTTTGCTGATGACTTGTTTCTTTTTCCTCATGGAAGCCTCCCATTAATCCAGACACTTAAACTTGCAATTGACACCTTCTCCCACATTTCTGGCCTCCAAACTAACCACACCAAAAATCAAGTCTTCACCTCTGGTATAAATAAATCTACTAAATATAGCATCCTTTCTTTCCTTGGCTTTGAGAAGGGGGAGCTTCCAGTGAGGTACTTAGGTGTTCCACTAATCGCATCAATGCTTAAAGCTCATGATTGCAGGGCCCTTATTGACAAAGTTACAGCCAGAATTGCCCATTGGACAAGCACGGACTTATCCTTTGCAGGGAGATTATAGCTTACTAAAGCTGTATTATTCTCCACCCAAATGTATTGGAGTTCAAAGTTTATCTGGCCTGCTAACATCATCAAGTAGCTCAACATAATTTTCAGAGCCTTTCTTTGGCCTGGTCCAGCCCTAAAAAGGACTGGAACCAAGGTTGCTTGGGATTTCTGTTGCTTGCCTAAAAGAGTGGGAGGTCTTGGTCTTCCAAATCTATTTACTTGGAAAAGAGTGGCTGTCATGAAGTTCCTATGACATTTGTTTCAATCTAAAAGTATGTTTTGGGTGCAGTAGGCTGACATCTACCTACTCAAAGGAAGAAGCATTTGTGAGGTTAAGACTCCATCTCAGTGCTCATGGAATTGGAGAAAACTACTTCAACTGAGGGCTGCATTTCGTCCTCTTGTCAACCTAGAAATTAGAAATGGTTCACAATCTAATTTTTGGTTTGACAATTAGAGTTGCTTAGGGCCCCTTAATCAGCTTAATTGTCTCTCCACATCAAATGAGTGAATCATCCTTTGACAGCAAGACCAAAGTTAGTGCTTTCATTAATGGTTCTTCATGGTCTTTTCCCCCTACCATCACTAATATCATACCACAATTACAACACCTACATAATCTTCTTACCCCAAACCCATAAAAACCAGACAAACTCATTTGGATACCCTCCCCATCTAGGAAATTTTCTGTTGCACAGACCATCAAGCATCTCAATCAACACTTACCTTCTGTACCCTGGGCTCATCTTGTTTGGTCCAAGCTGTCAATTCCCAAACACTCCTTTACACTATGGGTGGCCATCAGACACAAACTACCAACATTGGATTGGAAATGCACTGACCACATTAACTCCACCTTGTGTGTTCTATGCAACAATGCCTTGGAGAATCATGACCATCTTTTTTTTAAGTGCTCATTTGTAAAACCCTTGTGGACATTTCTCCAAGCACGTTGTGGGTACTACTTTATGCCTACTAATTGGAGAAGTTTAATTTCATGGATTTCTCACAACTGGAAAAAGGATACGGCTACTCTCAGCAGTTCAATTTCGAAGTTGGCTCTGGCCTCTCTTGTCTACCACATATTGACTGAGCGAAATAGAAGAATATTCGAGAAGAAAAGGATGTCACAAAATACAATCCTCCATCTCACCCTTGACACCGTCCAATTGAAGTTAATGGCATCCACCTTTCCTGGGCAAAAGAATTGTTGAAGATTGGGGCTTGCCTTCGTCCGTTCTGAGACCACCGGCAAAACACGCTAACCGGATTTTGAAGTTCTTATTTGAACTTCAACGACTAACTGTTGCCTTTGGGCTTATTTTGATTTCAAATGTTCCCAGCTTGATTCCTTGGCCTCTTGGGCCCCTTCTTTATGATGTAATAGTTTCCTTTCTTGGCCCATAACCTTTATGGGCCTGTTGTACTTTCAGCTTTTTTAATTGAATGTCACCTTTCAAAAAAAAAAAAAATGTCTGTTCTCTTTAGTACTTAGAATTATTGGTCCTACATTTAATTTCATCATCCTAAAGAATTTTATTACTCTAATTAATTAAATTGTTGGGGGGCATTCCTTTGCTCTGTTATTGATATCTTGTATTTAAATTGTGTTGTGCCAAAAAGGTACCAAATTCGTGTCTAGATACATTCTCTATTATTTGGCTGGAATATATATATATAAACAAAATTTGCTTTTAACACACACACACACACACATATATATATATATATATATATTCAATCATTATACTCAAATTATTTGTCGATAATATTCTTCTCCTTTACTTTTCCTTACTTTAGATGATTATTTTGGGTAAATTTTGCTATATAGTTGATGAAAGCGAAACCGAAAGCGAAGTTGCTCTTAACTAAGGATCTGACCCTCCGCTTTACCTTTTAAGTGTAATGTAGCATCTTGTATGCGCGCACAACACACTAAAGTCGAGATTTCAAATAATAGTGTCGGAGTTGGATGTTAATATGTCATTTTGGAGGGTAACTTTTAAATTCATAGAGTCTATGTCAACGCTTTTCAAAATCATGTATTATTTTGAAGAGTAGTGTTACCATGGTTGAGGATTTTAACTGAAATTCTTGAGAGAACAATGTTTATTGGCCCGATTCCTTATATTTTGCATACTCAATCAACTCACAATCTTCGGCTAAGCATTTTGGTTAGAATCTTTGACCTTGAATGCATTTTACTTCTTTGAAAGTTGAGGTATATAGAAAAACATTGTTCATTATATTTGTCTAAATTACCCTTACCATTTTCAAGTATCATGGGTTAGTTTGAGCAAATAAATAATATTTTTTCATTTAAGGTGAGACTTTTAGAAAAATATATGATTTTGAAAAACGTGAACTTTGATTTGACGAATTTAAAAATTGGTCTCCAAAACTTCATGTATTTGTAATTATTGCTCGATTTAATATACATGTAATGAAAGTTGCAACATTATTATTATTATTTTTTTGTTAGATTAGAAGTAAAAGGTACGAATGTTTGAAGTCGGGCTCTCAAGAATAACGAGAAACAACCTAATCGTTGAGCTACGAAGACGTTCACGGTTACAACATAATTAAAGCACATCAAATCAAGGAGAAGATATTTAGTGCGCTAGTCACGTCACGTCATAAACATACCCACTCATTCAAATATAATATATTATCTCGTTATAGTAATTTTTTTTTATGTAACTGAATTAACTTTTTTTTAAAATAACGCATTTTCAATGATTGAGCATGCCAATAACCTGGTAAGCCCGGTGCGTCCAATATCTACTCCAAACCAAAACAAGGTGCTATATTTTAATATTTGAGTCTCCAAATTAATAATGGTGTTCCACTTGAATTTATTCAATAGGGGTTACACGCACAATACAATTCACCACCAACAAGATGTACATATTGAAATATATATTGAAACAGAATATAATACATATATATATATAATATTTTAATAGTACAAAGGATCTAATTCCCTGGACCAACTTGTGCACAAATAAAATTCAGTCAAAAGATATACTAGGTCCACTTGATCGACTTTACATTGCTAAAGATGAAAGATATTTTCGTGTTACAGACAAAAAAAAAAAAAAAAAAAAAAAAAAACGATATGAAATGAGGAAAAGGTGGATTCCACGTACTGACGGAACAAAAGATAAAGCATGTAGATACTAGATACTTACATACCAACAGCAGCTTGTGTGTGTATATATATAGACTTAAGTCTTCCATGAACATATATCTGACAGTACTAAGTTGAAGTAGTTGCATAAAATATTATTGAGTTTTTGACAGTACTAATACTACACTCTTGTATCTGCCAACCGTTTTCACGACGACGACGACGACCACCACCACCACCACCACCACCACCACCACCACCACCACCACCACCACCATCTTCCACTTTGTGTTGAATACTTTCAGGTTATGGTGGACCCTGATGATCCCACGATCCCAGCCCAAGTGAACCAAAACCTAAGGGAGTTGCGTTGGTGAGTCATGAATGGCCTCTCTCTCTCTCTCACACACACACACATACACACTCATGCACATGCAGATGCACATGCACATGCACATGCACAAACTCATAGATATTGGCTATATGTTTTTAGTTTTGATTAACCAGGAGGAATTTAATTGGGTTGCTGGGGTTCCTCTGTCTATTGTAGTAATTGCATAGAAGACAAAGCCCTCTCTCTCTCTCTCTCTCTCTCTCTCTCTCTCTCACACACACACACACACACACAAACACACATACTCAAACACACACATGCACAAACTCATAGTTGGCTATGTTTGAGCTTAGATTATTAACCAGGAGGAGTTTGGGTTGTTCTCTCTCTCTCTGTCCAGATTAAAATTTATTTTAAATATTTATTACTTGGGGTTGTTCTCATCTATCTATGAATTATGGGCTACAAAAAATTTTCCTGCAGGCTCATGAGGACAAATATTAATGAATTTTATCCTGCAGACACCATAAATATATGGAAGCTGATGCATGGTTCTCTGGATTGGATATTGTGTTTGGTTTATAATTGATTGGATGTGACCAGAAATTTTGAATGGGAGAATTAGAATTACGTACTTAAAATTTGGAAAAAATTATAAATCAACTGTTATATATGTAATATTTTTTACAATAATAGTCTTGTTATATTTATTGAGGGAAAAATAATTCAAAAACCGAGAAAAATGTGATTCCAATTTTAAAAAGATATATTACCTTGATGAAAGATTAATATAGCAAAAAGTATCATTTCAGCTAAACAAAATCTTGCAAGTTTTATACATGAAGAAAGAAAATTGGATAGAAGGGACAGAAAATTTGTTGAGTAAGACAACCCTAGAGAAATGTTAGTTTACTAATTCCCTCTTTTTTGTTTTGTCGGATGGAAGAGAAAGAAATAAGGTAACACCTTACTTAATTTGTTAGAAAAGAAGGGAAGAGAGATTACTAATACTGAGTTTATCTAATAATTAAGAAGAATATTTAATTCAAATTTACCATTCAAAAAAAATTTATTTAATTCAAATTTTCTATAGTACGTACAGTCTATTTTTATTCCTTTCTCTCTTCCATCCACATTTGGAGGGATGGAAATTAATTTGTGAAGCAGGAAGAATAACTCATCCATCCTCTTTTTCTATTCCCTCCTTATCTCTTCTCTACTAAACGAAGGAAGTTTATTTCTTTCATCCAATCTTCCCTTCACCCTTCTTCATTCCCTACTGCCAAACGGATCATTAATAAAACATTACTATTAGGAACAAATTAGAGAACTACTTTAATAACTTATAGAAGGCATAGTTATAGAATTTCTCATTTAACAAGTGACAGCTAAAAATGTTAGCATATATGATATTATTGTTGTTATATATTGTCATTTTTGTCATCTCTGCATCATAACATACACTTTAGTTTTTCCCTTCTTTCTAAAGCTCCAAAGACTTGCAGATGAAGATTAATAGTATATAATTTAATTTAATTTATTATTATTATTTGTGTGTGTGTGTGTGTGTGTGTAAACGCCATTAATAAAAATGCCTGAGAAAGAAGATTCATGTATCTTTTATTATTCCGTAAATATGAGGAGATGTTTTATTTTCTTTTTTGTCTTTTTTTAAATTTATGTAATCGATATAATACATGTGTGTAGGGATGGTAATTTGTCCCACCCCACCCTGTTTTTAGCGGTTTTGGTGGACCGTTATCTTATTTGGGCGGTGATGATTTAATGCATTGAAAACTCACGCGTGTTCGATACAGGGGCGAGGGTAGGTCGCCCCACCCCGTTTAGATAAGTAAATTACTTAAGTTCCCTTATTTCATTAGTATATATATTTCGCATTAATACCCTTATTTCATTAGTATATATATTTCATTAGAATATATATTGAGACAATTTGTTTTGCAACAAAATCTGGAACAAGTAGTTTACGCGGCCATTTAGAATGTTTTTAATGTTAAATTTTATATCAAACTATTTTTTGTCCTTTTTTTATGAATCTTTTCAATAATTACATAATTTTAGTTGAAAAAAAAAAAAAAAAAAAAAAAATCGAGTAGAATTTCTGTTCTGAAACGGGGCGGGGCGATACCCGCGAGGGTAAAGATGTTAAACGGTGGTGGGGATGGGATGGAAAGTCATCCTGTTTTTGCGATTTTGGGTGGGAACAGGGGTGGGAATTTTAAACGGGGGCTGGGGCGGGGGAGGGTACACCTGCCCAATCCCGCCACTGTTTTTTTTTTGGGTAATAAAACCCGCCTCAGTTGCCGTCCCTACATGTGTGTATATTATTGTAAATGTAAATATAGTACTAAATGATATGCTTTAGTGGACCTTTCTTTTTAAATCTTTTATATATTAGATGTAAATGTTCGTATTAGTGCATATAAAACAAATTGACAAAATTATTGAAAAATGAATTTAAGAACCGACTTTTAAAATTAAAGTTACACCCTCTTTAACAGCTTAAGTTTTTATAATAGATGGTTATAAACAATAATAAGGCCGCATTTTGTTTTAGAAATGTTGTCTCCATATATAGGCATTGTTTTATAGGACTTTGGAAAGTTTTAATGGTTACTTACAATGAGTGATCAAGATATAAACAACTTGCGGTGAAAAAAAAAAAAAAAAAAGTTATAGACAAATACCGCCTTTATTTTGCTCATTTTATAAAATCCACTTAGTTAGAGAGAAAAAGGGACCAAAAAAAAAAAAATTCTTTTTCTTCTTGGCATGAAACTCACACACTTGTGCCCTTACACGACTTGAAACCTTCTCTCCAAAAATGGAAGACCAAACTTGTTTCTGAATGCACCAGCATGCAAGTCAGAAAATTAATGTTCCTAGGAAGACTCTCTCATGTGAACAGTAGGGCTGCAACTCGAGTGGGCCCAACCCGAAATAACCCGAGTCCAGTCCAAAATTTTGTGGGCTTTGGCAATATTTTTCTAATTTCGGTTTGGGCCTGGGCTATATATTTTGAGCCTGAATTCAATTCTCTTGGTGTAGGCTCAACTTTTAGGTAGAGTAGGCTCAACTCCCTTGGAGCCGCCTCTACATCATATGGAGCCGGCTCCACTTCAATGGAGCTGCCTCCATTGATGGGTGCAGCCGCCTCCACTCTTCTCAGTTTTTGTCTTCCCCGACGCCGGCTGTTTTCTGACTTTCTGATTATCCTTGCTAAGGTTCCTAACCCTCTGTTCTAGGTTCCAGATGGTCCCAACAATTTATTAAATTCATTATGCATCAATTAACATCAATTAATTAAAACATGAATTATGCAAGGAAATTTACAAACAAGCAAACACCAATTCATGTAAAGGCATACTGTTACAATTGAAATTAACATGCGAACCAGATTAATCTTTAATGTCTATTTACTCCTGGACTTGTGTTAGGCATGTAAAGAACACGAGTCAAAGAGAAAAAGTTAGGAATAGAACTTGCCTTTCAGATTTCGGTTCAAAATCTCAGTGTCGTTTTCCTAAGATTTCCGCTGAATGCTCTTTCTTCTCTCTCTATCTTCTCCTTGGTTCAACCCTTGAACACACCCCTTTAATCTTTCCTTGGTTTAGCCTTAGTCCTAGTTAAACCCTAAACAAAGTATTTTGTTCCTCTCTGTGTATGTGAACAGGGTTTACAAACGCTTGGCATACAGTTCTATTTATAGGCTTCACTAAAAACCCTAATTCTAGTTTAATTTAGAGACTGGAAAAGAACCATTCATATTATATCTAAGTCGGCTAAACGTGAAGAACCTAAAACCCTAAAAAAAATAATAATAAAAACAATAAAACAATTAAATCAAATTTGCACGTAAACATATATTTAAGACAGAAAATAATTAAAACAAATACTCAATTAAATAATTCAAATAAATAAAACAAATACTGCAATTAACTCAATTAATTAACCACAATTAAAATAAATAAGGAAACAGCCAAATAAACCCATAAAAATGCAAAAATTACAATAAAACTATAAAATAAACTACCGAAACTATACTTTTAAAATTAGGGGTATTACACCAAGTTCATCATCCCTCAACTGTGTCATCACTTCTCAACCTCTTCCCCTCACAGAAGCAGCTGCTAACATCTCTGACAATGATTCTTTCACTAGTTTACCAGCTGTGCCATGTAAAAGAAAGCTCAAATATAGAAGTAAATCAAAGAAAGGGCAGCTCAATAAACCAAGTTCTTCACAAAGGGAATTTGTTCCCAAGTGGCAGCTTTTTTAACACCATCAAATGGTATCAATAGCCATTTGGAACACAAAGGGACTTAACTGCCCCTTAAAGTAGATGGAGGTGAAAAAACTCCTAAAAGTTAAGAAGATAGACATTGTATCTGTCGTTAAAACCAAAATTCAAGATGCAAATGTTGGTTTAGTGCATAATTCTATTGCCAGAACTTGGAAGATTGCACACAACTATCAGTTTTGCCCACTAGGTCGAATTTGGGTACTATGGAACACCAAGACAGTTGATTTACAAGTCCTTACCTGCTCCAGACAAGCCATCCACTGTTATGCCACCATTTTAAGTTGCAGGACTAACTTCTACATCTCATTCATCTATGGAGCCAATGATGTACTTGAAAGAGAGGTTCTCTGGGCTGACATTGTTCATCACTCATCCACACTCTCATAATTCTGATGGATTCTTGGAGGTGACTTCAATGTTATAAGGGCAACTGGTGAAAATTTTAGAGGATCAAAGATAACCACCAAAGCCATGCTGGATTTCAGAAGATGCTTACATGATTCTAGCTTGGAAGACCTAAATTTCTAGGAATTTTTCACTCCTGGACCAACAAGAGCCCATGAATCTCCAACATCTCTAAAAAGCTGGATAGAGTCCTCATTAACAGCCTTTGGAACTAATGTTTTCCACTATCCCACTGCCATTTTGATACTCTAGGTATCTCTGACCACTGCCCCATGCTTATTAGCCTTGGTAATCACAGGCCACAGAGAAGGGTTCTCTTTAGGTTCTTTAACTATTGGTCTACACATGATGACTTCTTGCCTCTCATTCAATCCCTATGAAGTATACAAGCTCAGGGACATACCATGTTTCGAGTCACTACTAAACTGAAAAGGCTTAAGCAACCCCTTAGGCAGAAGTTCTCTAAAGATGTCAACTTAATCCAAAGGGAGGCTCAGTGAGATACCCCTCGGATCCGAGACACGGGTTGATCAGGCCCAGGTCCAAACCCGAGGGAATATCAAACAATTAATATTTTATAATGAACACGAAATACAAAATATTTTAAGAAATGAAATTAAAGCTGGAAGGAACTAAAAATAGAATCCGCAAAATATTATAATTATTAAAATCCATCAAACCCAAACTCCAAAACTCCATCAGTTTACAACTTGGGAATCCATCTCTAGTGGACCCCTGTTAAACATCCAAACGGAAGATAGAACAACTGTAATAAACGTCTAGAAATAAAACTATAGAGAGAGCCCTACATCGTCGGAAGAGTGAATAGAGACCTCTGCTCAGCACGAACACGTCTAAGCCTGGAACTGTCGTGTACCTGAAAAATAGAAGTGGGTCAGGCCCACGCGCAAGTTCTATACTACTACAATCCGAACAGAGGCCCGATACGTATGTACATCCTAAACAACTCAACAATAGCTAATAATCCGTAAATATATATATATATAATCACACTAAAGGACTCTCACTGGACTACAGGCCGGTCTCAACCTGAATAGAGGTAACATGCTAAAACGCACACGAAGTGGGCATATGTACCTATGCCTAAATAGGGTACACCTTCAACCATCGTAGCCAGCTACACATCCCGATGCATATACGCTCCCTAGCCATCGGTCCTGAGGCTCAAGCTCATACCGAGGCACCATAACAGTACATATATAAAATCCATCCAAAATCCCTGGTATTGCCGCTCAACAAGTAGTTGCCATGACAATACAAATCCACGGGACTTAACTTTTAGTTAATCCCATCCTTATTCCAAGTAGGTGGGTAATGGTATTGTTTTAAAAACCAAACCCATCCTTAGTATGCCACCGTCCCATACCGATGCCTACTTTCTAATCCTCCAGTAGTCAATAATACCAATAAATCAAATATATATCAACTAAATTCCAACATCCAACATTCAATGTTAGCAGTGATAAAATAAGTATTGATAAACAGGGTCACAACAACAACATATACATGCCCAATTTAAGTTGTTCCCTTTAGTCTGATATAAAGACAGAATTAATTAAAACTTCCATTTAACACCTTACAAATGACATACAGATATGTAAAGTATGTATCACAAAATCCTAACCTCCACAGTTGATACTAACTGTGATAATGTAAGCATCAAAACAGTATTCACAGTATGTATGTAGACATGCTCAAATTATAGTGTTCCACAAAACCGATCTAGTGTTAAACTCAAATCCTCCTAGTATTTAAGTTCCAACAGTTGCTATTACAGAAGTTAAGATAGCTATCATCTATACCCATCCTTCCAATAATTTATACTAGCAGTGGTAAGGAAAAACGTGAACCACAGA